TGCCTTCTGATATCTTTACGGTCTCAGCTATCTCACGCAAATTCAATTTATGATCAGATATAACCAATTTCTGGACTTTTTTGATGTTTTTTGGAGTAACCACGTCAATTGGACGGCCAGAACGTTCACCATCATCGGTGTCTGTACGACCACGTTTAAATTCAGTAAACCAATAACAAATGGATATTTTCGATGGAGTAGAGTCCGAATAACACTTTTGAAGTCATAGCTGAGCTTGTACAGTATTTTTTTTTCATCAAGATGCAATGATAAATTAACACACGAAATTGTTTTGAATCCATTGTTTTGAAAATAGCAAAAGCAGCTACACTTAAACGGCTGTCACTTTTTCCTGACTAATGGAAATGTCATGAAATTTTACACATAGTCTTTTGAAGGTTGGTAGTAAAAGTCAGATGGATTTGACAATGGCAGCGCCATCTGTGTATCAGTCGTACGACTAATTGACTGATGTATTAGAAAATGTTTTAAAAAACTGATTACTGTCTACCAGTTTCACGAGAAGATAACTAAAATATCACCAAAAAATAGTCTCACTATCAAATAATTCCCTCCTTCTCAAAGCAACAATATCCATCCACATCTTAACCCATGTATTCCTCATGTAATCCTGAATTGCAAAGAGTATGCAACATGCCAGAGTAATAATGTCTCTATTTTCAGTACTTGTAACGCTACTAAAACAACTAAAACAACTATCGATGACAGTGTGTATTGTATTAGTAGTTAAGTTTTTATTGTTGTGTACTCTGTAGAAAGTAATTTGGTTTTAAAATAAGTTCTGTATACGTATTATGTACAGAATAAAATCTTTACTTTTAAATGGATGTGTTTTAATTTATTCTTCCAAGAATATAACATACTTTTAGTATGCAATATACCTAGTATGATGAGGTAAGCCTTATATTAGCAACAGTTGTGGTAACCCGCTGTGACCTAAAAGCAGATAACATTAAATGTTTTACATGACATATACATGTGTTAGAATGTGGATAGGTGATGGCTGAAGGTAGGGGGAATAGAAAAGAAAGGGTGGATTGGGGATGGATATGATTTAAATTGAAATCAACCAGACTGAGAAACCTTGCCAGTTAAATGAGGTGGGTTCAAAGTCCGATTCGACGGAGGTTTATGTGTGCAGTGTGGCAAGACAACATATGGGCTAAAGTTTGGGCACATATTACGAATAGCCGCTTTAATGTGTGACAAGTAACTGTTTAGCAGGTGCCTATACTCTGATTTCAATTGACATTTGTTGGTGTACGGGGAAGTCGTTGTTCTTCCTGAGAGATGTTTGGCAGGGGCCTGTGGAGAACCTTGTTTTGAGTCAACCTTGGTCTCAAAGAGTATACTACATCAGTGTAGGGGGCTGTAAGTTCACGTTTTCAAACTCTTGTAGATTTCTCCAGTTCCCAAAAAACTTAAGGTTGCAGACAACTTATTTTCCGGGATGATGTTATTATGAGCATTTGTATTAATTTTTGTAAATCACTGAAAAAAACTGAGCATGTTTATATTTTCGTTTTTTCAAAACAAAAATATACTGATATGATACACTGCATATTTTGCCGTTTGGTCATGACCAAAAAGAGTATTGCCGCGACTATTCGTCATAAGGCTGTCTGTATAACTAGACCTTTAATGTAAATATTGGATATTGTTTTCGACCAGTGTTAATCGAAATATGATAATTTTAAAACAATTTCAGATATTTTTAACGGATTTCACGAATATCAAAATCAAAAAAACTATAAGCTTTTAACATATTCTTTCCAAGCATATAACTTAAGCTTCAATAGTAAAGCTCCAATAGTGAAAATCTTGTAATTTCAGTTCCAAATGAATACTTTTCGAATAAAATTAATTTTGAAGGACTTTATTTTTATTACATCTTCATTTAAATAACTTTTCTATTTATATATTTCTCATTATGATTATGAAATAAATTCCTTTTGTGCTTATCTCATTGCCGCTTTTATTCAATATTTAATAAAATAGGCACTCGAATACAAATGTATTGCAATCTGTCGGTAGATTCCTTCGTCCTCGAATTTGGCTTAACGTAAACTCTGAACTTGAAAGCGATGGTTTTATTGGTTGCATTAAAGTTCGTCGGGTTTTCATGTTGGCCAGTGAAGGTCAAGCGACTTGTACACAATGCCAAAGTAGGTATTTTAATATTGCAAAAATATCATAAGTTATTCAAAGAATAATGTTCAATATAAATTATATATAAAAGTAAATATCGTTATTGTAATTTAGCTTTATTTTCAAGGTAAATATGAGAAATTTCAATGATGACGATTTAATAAATTAATATAAGCAAACATTGGTCAATTTTTAGTTATTGTTAACTAAATTAAGTTCAGAAAGGATTTGTCAAATTGTTAAGATTCTGTTAAGGAAATCTGTTTGTTAAATAAATAGTTGTCTTGAGCATTGGCATAATAAAAATTCTTAATAGATAATTGCATAAGATTAGAAAATTTAGTCATCAATTTAAAAGCCATTTAATGATAAATTTAAAGAACCTATTATTATTATTAAATATTATTAGTAGTATTATTATGGAAAAAGGATAGTACACTGCGGCCTAAAAGATCTATTGTACCCCTTAGTCAGATTAGAGTATTTCTCCAAGTCCGATTTTTTTAATGAAAGACAATATAGGGCTTATCTGTCCTAGTTTTCAATCCCCATGAAATACCTTTCAAAGTGTTTCTTCCGCTTGTGCATCTCCCCTAGCACATGGTATGCGGTTTCTCTCTCTTCTCTACAGTATCTGTAGTTTGTGTTGGATTGGATTCCTAACTTTCTTAAGTGATTACTCAATCTACAGTGAGCGGTTAATAATTCTCTAATAATTCTTAGGTTATTCTTTATTTGTTCTATGCAATCCATGAGGCAAATGGCGTTTGTTGAAGTCTTTCTGTATTGAGAAATTTAATATAAGATGGGAAGATTCAATGATATGTAGAAATATGTATGCAAATTGGCCTACTTTTATTGAAAAAATTCAGAAATCTCATTGGGATGCCCTATAAGGATATCAGTTATTTGATAGGCTTGTTTCCGGGCTGCAGTTTTTAGGGAACCCAAAAATGCGTCCCATATGTATCTCTTCTACTTAATTTATATATTTTTTATATATTTTTATATATATTTTTATATATATTTTTATATATATTTTTATATATATTTTTATATATATTTTTATATTATATATATATTATATTATATATATATTATATTATATTTATATTTTATATTTTTATGTTTTTTTTTTATATATTTTTATATATCTTTATATATATAATTCTTCTGTACGTGTGTTGACAGTGAACTCTTCCTAAACGGCTGAACCGAGTTTGATGAAATTTTTTGTGTGTGTTCAAGTGGGTTCAAGGATGGTTTAGATTCACAATTTGGTTCACTGGATAATGTTTTTTCAATTATTACACAATTTTTTGGTATCCATATACATTTATATTAGACATTTAAAATTTATTCATGCTTACTTTGATTTGTTTAAAAAGTTTAGTCTCTAAAATGAATCCTTCAACTATCCTGTTAAATTTTTGAATTCGCTGGATTTACCAGGAATGCCACCACATAACTTAAAATTAAAAATTAGCGCATCTATAATTTAAATGCACCTAAGCTATGCAACGGCACGAGATTAGTCATAAAAAAAAATAATAATTTTTTTATATATAAAGATATTTATAGAAATTTTTATATATTATATAAAGATATATAAAAATATATATAAAAAAAATATAAAAATATAAAATATAAAATATAAATATAATATAATATATATATAATATAAAAATATATAAACAAATATGTATAAAAATACATAAAAAATATATAAATTAAGTAGAAAAGACAAATATGGGACGCATTTTTGGGTTCCCTAAAAACTGCAGCCCGGAATATACTTGAAGTTACAATTTTTAATGGCAAATTTGAAGGTGAAGCTTTTCTCCTGCCACGAATTCCAATGATCCCTTCAGACTCACCTATTCCACTCAGATATCTGCAATTTGCAATTCGCTTGGCATTTGTCATGACTATTAATAAGTCACAAGGTCAAATAATGTCGATTTATGGGATAGATCTAAAAAATCAGGTCTTTTCACATGACCAATTATATGTGGCGTGTTCTCGCGTTGGAAAACCGTCAAGTTTATTCATTTATACTCCTCAAGAATTAACTAAAAATATTGTTCATCAACTCGCATTAAGATGAAATTAAACAAACATTATTGATTACTACGAATTGTTTCGTAATTATTTGTCTTTCATTTCTTACTTTGTTTGATATCCTAATCGCTTAGTATATCATACAGGACAACATCTGTCGGGTCAGCTAATATTTTAATATATTTGTACTTGCAGTTTCAAAAAAAATATTTACGAACAATTGAATACAAGAATTATTTATTTGGCAATACTCGAAACAGCTGTATTGTTAGCAAAAAATTCACTTAATTAAAATAATATAAAATGAATTTTGTTGTTGTAGTTTACTACTGTTCGAAAAAACTCTATATATTTTTTATATATTTTTTTATATATTTTTTTATATATTTTTATATATATTTTTTTATTATATTTTTTTATATATTTTTATATATTTTTTTATATATTTCTTTCCACATAAAAATTATATAATTTATTTCCAAATAATTTTATTATAAAATACTCATTTTTCAATCTGCACTGCTCCTAAACTCGCATGGAAGGGTATTGAATTTTTATTTTAAAGGTAATCAAAGCATTTTTCTTTGATTCTTAAAATTCGTAGTTAAAGGCAAAAAGATACTTTTCTGTTATCTTCCTAATTTTGTTACTGTGATGGTTATATGGATTCTTTGAAAAAGTATTTCTTAACAATAAATTTTCATTTTTGCTGTAGGCAATAAGAACAAAAGAAAAAAGGCAATCATAACAAATATTTAATTTATTTATGTTTTCACAATAAATTATTGGTAATCCAATGAAGTTCTCACAACAAATATATTTGAGCATCCAAAAATTTTACATTATAAAATTTTTTATTTAATGAATTTTAATGAATTTTTGGATGTAAGTCAAGTTGTCTTTTGAAGAACTGAAGCGAAAATAGCGTATGTCATGTAAGATTTGTACATTTTTATTCTAATATCTTGATCCTGCCAGAGTGTATATGTAGTAAGTACGTACTAAGCGAACGAAGCAGATCTGGTAGAAGAGTTTCATCATTAACTTGTACTTCTTACTTCTTGTGCCAAGGCCCAAATTGCTTATAAAAGTCACTGCATAGTTTATGAGCACCATTGTGTGGACTCCAATCCATGGCTGTAGTGCAGCCAGTTTAACCTGTAATAAATATTTCATATTATTAAAATATTAAATAAAATTTAATTATTTAAAGCGGTTATCTTTTAAATGATGATGACGAAAAAGAGGAAAATAATATTAGAGCGCCAATAAAATTTTTATTTCATTTCAATTTTTGGCTGACTAAAAAACGATTGAAAATAGTTGTTTTTAATATTGTACAATATACACTAGTGTGTATTAAAAATATTTCATTGATTTACTATAATTAATACTAGTAATGACTTCTCTCGTTTATTAACTGAGCATGCCAAACTGCACCAAAGTGCCAGAGATTAAATCTGAAGTACATACAAATTAAATCTAAAGATATACAAATAATTAAATTTAAATACCCATAATTTAAGGATTACTTATTATCCAAAAAATGTGGATGGCAGTCTTTCAAAATTTTTAGGAAGTACAATGTTCGAATAACTATCTCTCCCTCCCTCCCTCTCTCTGTCTTTGTCTATCTCTTTCTGTGTCTATCTCTTTCTGTGTCTATCTCTTTCTGTGTCTATCTCTTTCTGTGTCTATCTCTTTCTGTGTCTATCTCTTTCTGTGTCTATCTCTTTCTGTGTCTATCTCTTTCTGTGTCTATCTCTTTCTGTGTCTATCTCTTTCTGTGTCTATCTCTTTCTGTGTCTATCTCTTTCTGTGTCTATCTCTTTCTGTGTCTATCTCTTTCTGTGTCTATCTCTTTCTGTGTCTATCTCTTTCTGTGTCTATCTCTTTCTGTGTCTATCTCTTTCTGTGTCTATCTCTTTCTGTGTCTATCTCTTTCTGTGTCTATCTCTTTCTGTGTCTATCTCTTTCTGTGTCTATCTCTTTCTGTGTCTATCTCTTTCTGTGTCTATCTCTTTCTGTGTCTATCTCTTTCTGTGTCTATCTCTTTCTGTGTCTATCTCTTTCTGTGTCTATCTCTTTCTGTGTCTATCTCTTTCTGTGTCTATCTCTTTCTGTGTCTATCTCTTTCTGTGTCTATCTCTTTCTGTGTCTATCTCTTTCTGTGTCTATCTCTTTCTGTGTCTATCTCTTTCTGTGTCTATCTCTTTCTGTGTCTATCTCTTTCTGTGTCTATCTCTTTCTGTGTCTATCTCTTTCTGTGCCTATCTCTTTCTGTGTCTATCTCTTTCTGTGTCTATCTCTTTCTGTGTCTATCTCTTTCTGTGTCTATCTCTTTCTGTGTCTATCTCTTTCTGTGTCTATCTCTTTCTGTGTCTATCTCTTTCTGTGTCTATCTCTTTCTGTGTCTATCTCTTTCTGTGTCTATCTCTTTCTGTGTCTATCTCTTTCTGTGTCTATCTCTTTCTGTGTCTACCTCTTTCTGTGTCTATCTCTTTCTGTCTCTCTCTCTCTCTCTCTCTCTCTCTCTCTCCCTCTCTCTATCTCTCTCTCTCCTTCCCTCTCTCTCTGTCTCACTCTCTAACTTCTCTGTGTGTCTCCCTCTCTGCGTCTTTCTCTGTGTGTTTCTCACTCTCTGCCTCTTTCTCTGTGTGTTTAGATTTATTATCGATCAATCAAATTTTGTTGCCCAATCGAACATGTTTAGAATAATCTAACATTTTTGTAGTAGTGTTAGCAGAAATTTATATATTGTACAAATACATATTTCTAATCAAATCATACTTTGTCTATCTATTATATAAAACAGCTGTTATTTTCATGCTAATCTTGTTACTCTAGCAAAATATTTAGAGTGTTATAAATTAATTTCGAACGTTATAGATTTTGCCCCAGATAATATTTTTTATACAGTCAGTCAAATAATTCCTATTACATTTTCTATTGAAACCCTTTGTAATTATATATCTATAAAACAGATCATTTCTGCTTCTAAAAATTATTTCATTTATATTTATATTAAAATAAACAAAAACATATACGTATGTACAATTACTTTAAAGTTTATGAAAATTGTAAAAATTCATAATAATTAAATTCATTACATTAAATTAATTATTATATTAATTAAATTCAGATTCAATTATTATATATACAACTAAACTCACCCAAAGCAAGCCATAAGTTAGTAGCATCCATAGCATATATACAATTAGAGCTTTAAAAAAATTACAACAATAAAGGATTAAGTCTACTGAAAAAGATTTATGTAAACGGACTGGTCCAGTTCTGTACACTGCTGAAAGTGTTTTTAAACATTCCAGCTGAGAATGAATATACATATGTCAGTTTAATTCTATATAGTCTATAAATTCTATCCAATTTTAACACTTACTATCCCGTGTAGTCCAAAAACAGCCGCCATAAAATAAATGGTGTGAAAAACCATTCTTGAACGGAAAAATTCATTTAGAACCGATAAAACAGTAGTAGTATCGTATCCACAGTCATCCATGGTTATATCAAAACGATTTTTCACAAAATCGCAAAGTTGTTTTTCAAAGAACGATGGAGTATCCATTTTGGTTAAATACTTTCACTCCGACAAGTAAACAAGATTGACAAAAATAATTTAAGGTACATAAAATTTTATGTTAAAACTGCAAAAATTTGTTTAAAATATATATTTCAATGGTTCAAAGTCTCACAGTAATTTTTCTGAAAAAATTTTTTTTAAATATTTCTACTAACAAAATTTTCTAGATTCAAAAATTTAAAAAGAAAAAAATTCTGTTTTTTAAAAACCAGTAACTTCGGAGTGAATTGTTAATAACACATTTATTTTCCATTCCTGAAATTAAATTATACTGGCAGGAAGTATTAGCTGTTGCAGTACCTCACAGAGAAGCAATATCTGAAGAAATGTTGACATAATCCAGTTGAATTTATGCGTTGATTTTTCACTGCGAATCCATTACTTTACACCTAAAACGATAAATCAGTCAAAAAAATCGATTTTTTTTATGATCAAGTACTTAAGGAAGACGTGTCGTACATTTAACCAGAAAGATTATGATCACAATTTTGTGGAATGCATGCGGTGGATATACAGTTCCCGTAGATCCTATGAGGAGTAAAGGGTCACAATGCATGCTGCATAATTGATTATTTTTCGTAGAAATAAGTGGTTAATAGCGAACACTACGCTGTCATGTCGATCTCACCAGACTTCTAATTACTCTTGTGGGACAAGGGAAAAGAAATTTCCAATAAAGATGGTAAATAGGTGTACACGTGGCTAACGGCACTGATGATTTTCATTGAGCAACGTCGCTTGAAATTGGTCACTATCCAACATATTAATCATAATTTATTAAATATGTTAAATATACCTAAATCTTAAAAAAATGGTCGAAAAAATTGGATATTTAAAATAAAAGTAAAAATAAAAATAATAATTGACTTACGCATCCCTTCATTTTAAAAACACATTTCTCCCATATAACATATATTTTGGAAATTATTCTCTGCTAGTCCATATAATTAGGTACAATTTGATATATGGTATTTGTATATGTGTTATATATATTCTTCAGTTCTTGCAGTATTTATTTAGTTTCTTTTTATTATGGTTCGCTCATTGAGGTTATGTATAGATGGAAGCAATCGCTCACTATACCAAATCAGTGACTTACTCGAGAGCATTTTTGTATCGCAATAAAGTTTTAACTCCAAACCTCTAACTGAACAAAGTAATGGAACCAATATTGATGTCAAGTATTGATGAAGGAAAATCGTTGGACCTACCACGGCAGTGTCTATCTTGAGGCCAAGTCGGAACAGAGTACTCAACATGTCACAGTCCCAAATCTTTAGGAGTGAAAAACATTTTCCACGTGCAGCAAAATTGTATTTGTCCAATTAAGATTATGATATTGTCACGGTAAATAGTTATTTGTTACGTACATATGGTATCTACTTTAAATGTTTGCTCTAACAGCAGCATTACACGTTATAAGATCGGTTATCAATTTTTACATCCCAATATAAACATGAATTTTAGTTCTATTTATGGTAGGGTATCTTCATAAAAGGGTTACTTTTCAATTATTATTCCAACTTCCCCCTGCGCCACAGCGCATAAATCCACATCCTTCTTCTTGGTTATCCTTATCTCATGATAAAATTTCCATGATAAATTTAGACAGTTTTATTATGCCGCCCGTGTCCAGCTTCTCCAACTTCTTTAATTCCTCATTCTTAATTAGTTAATGCTTTGTCTAGAGAGAATTAATCAGTAATGCAATAAATGTTTATCAGTTTCCTTCATGCTCTTATTCTGATAACTTCTACAAGAGTTTTTAGTAATAACATGTAATAATAGAAGCGAGAAAATTAACTCTAATCTTTGTTAGACTCAGGAGTGTTGTATCGTCTCACTAACTTTATCCTTAGTTTTTATCCCTTCTCATATAATCGTCTTTAAATTTATATCTTTTCATATAATGGTCTTGTAATTCATGGTTCCTGAATACAGGCTTTTTCAGGTTACATTAACAATGGTCGTTTAAGTTAACAGATTCTAATGGTAGTTGGGTTTTGTGACAAGCGTTTATATACAATGCTTTTAGATATCATTTCTAAAACTGAAACTTAAATAACTTAAAATTCAGTTGAATTGAAAAAGTTTTTACTAGACATTTGTCTAGGTAGGTTTTTGAAGTTATTTTTAATAACATTTTTCATAGTAGCGTTCATTGTTGATATAAAGTGTAAATTAAGGCAAAACATACGGAATGTAATCAAAAAGTGAATAAAAAATGAAATGAAAAATATCACAAAATTGCTGACAGACAGGATACTAATGTGCATCCTGATACCAATAACAAAATAATAATATGAAACAATAAGATAAAAATACAACACAAAACAAACAGAAGAGAAACTAAAGCAGGTCATAACATTAAACCCAAACAAAAATACCTATTTTCTTGTACATAAAAAACTGAAATAAAAAATTGTATTGAAACAAAACCTAACGTGTCCTGTTTCTCATCCTTACTCACGTCTGCTGAATGTAGGACATTGCTACACATTTACATGGTGTGGAGATACTTTTGTGTGCTTTTACAGTTCAGATTAGTATGAAACGAAACTATATGCGAATGTTCAGTGTTTATTTACATACCTCCATATACATACATACACATATATAAATATATATATACAAATAAGTATTCATTTTTAATATATTGGAAAGTCGAATTGAAATATTCCGTATTTAATAAACAACTTGAAGCCGGAAGCATTTTGAACTTATCTGAAAAAATTACTTTTTATCTCTGCATTTCTTTCTTTTTTTCTGAATATTTAATGTCCGCATGTAGCAGTTGAATTACATTTCTACATTTCTACTCGTACGACTGTTGAATTCTGCCTTAAACTAAATTCAATTTCAACGACAGGACAACATGTAGAAGTAGTAATTCAATGACCTCATGTCGGTTTGTGCTCTTATTTAACTTCATCCAGGTATAAGAATTGCATTAGATACATTTGAACAGGGAAGTTTGTTATTTACAAAAAGCTGTTCTGTTGAATAACTCTATTAATTTATTGATTAAAAGATATTTATTGGAAATTGTTTAAAAATGTATCTTATACCATACAATCCATTATCACTAATTTCCCAGAGCTATATAACTAATTTTATTGATGTTACATATATAAATGGTTTTATCTGATTTCATGTGGTACTACACTTTGATCTTAGCCATAAAGCTGAAAAGCGATTCTGGCTTAGATGAACCTAGTTCACTAGGTATTAAGTATATCTAAACTCATCTCTCTTCCCTGATTACTGGAATAAAGTTTTCTCAAAGCTGTGGAAATCATCTCCATTCATTCCTAAGAGGTGGTTTTTGTTTAATATCTAACCGCTTACACATGGATGGCGATAATAATCATCATTACTTATATTAAAAGTTGTAGTTAAACTATTCTGGTGTTTGGTGTAATGACTTTATTGCCAATATACTTAAATGGATGTACTTATTGGTATTTAAGTTAAAGTTGTTGCTTTTAAGATATATTTTTTTTTATTGAATTATGAAATTTGTACATTATGTATGCTTTAAATTTTTTATTAAATCGTTTTTATTACTAGAAACTTTTACGCTACAGAATTATAAATAAAAAGTGCTCCTTATCATTGTTCCTTCACCTTCACTTTTACCTTAAAACAATAGACAATATTAATTGGTTATTATAGTATACCGGCTCAAAAAGTACCCGGATTTTGTAAATAAAACACACAAATTTAAATTTTATTCCAAATTTATTTTATCTCCTTCAAAATATGCTCCTTCTGAAGCGATCTTTCATACACTTTTCGTAGGCCCGTGCAGGTATGGCTTTTAGTTCCTTCAGTGAATTCTCTTTTACCGATTCAATAGACTCAAAACGCTTACCACGAAGGGACAATTTAGTTTCGGGAACATGAAAAAGTCGCACACCGCCAGATCTGGCGAATATGGTGCGTGAGCGATGACAGTGGTGCCGTGTTTGGTCAAAAAATCGCGTATAACAAGAACCGTGTGCGATGGAGCATTGTCGTGGTGAAGAATCCAATTTTTGACTTTCCATAAATCTGGTCTTTTCTTACGAATGCACTCACGCAAATGCCGCATACCGCCGAGGTAATATTCTTTATTTATGCTATGATCCTCTGGCAAAAAGTCGTAATGAACAACACCGCGATAGTTGAAAAAAACAGTGATCATAACTTTAATTTTTCGGGCGAATTTTTTAATTTTTGCGCGGTTTTTTGGGTTCTGGCTCGTTTTCGAAGTGCCATTCGCTCGATTGTTGACTGGTTTCTACATCATACTCATAAACCCATGTTTCATCACCTGTTATGATGCGTTTCATAAATGTAGAGAGTTTCCATGCTCAAAAATCATTTCTTCACACACGTTCTTTCGGTATTCTTTTTGCAAAAAATCAAGGTGTTTCGGTACAAGTTATAACTGGAACACGTCTCATGCCCAATATATCATGTAGAATGTGATGAACGGATTCATTTGAGATGTTTAAGTCATGAGCAATCTCCCTTTCAGTCATACGACGATCTTCCAGCACAATTTTCTTGATTTTTGCCACGTTTTCTTCGGTATTTGATGTTGATGGACGTTCAGAACGAGGCAAATCTTCGATCACTAACAAATTCTATGCTAAAACATTTAAGTGAACGGCGAGACGTATAATGTATTTTTAGGAGTAGTTTTGAATTTCTTTCCTCACCAGTAATATATGAAAATCTTTCTGGAAAGTTATGTTTTTGAAGGTACATTATTGTGAACGAAGGTCTACATTCTTAATACCGCAGAACCAGGTAACCACAGTGCTTGAACAATAGGCGGTTCTCAATAGTTAGATTCCGTATATCCATATAGGCTAAATAATACTCTTGTGTAGCAGAACTTTTAAGAGAATTTATGAGAAAGCTTTAAATGTTTGTTGAGGAGTCAATATCAAAGCAGCTGCAAGTTTGAGTTGCTAACAATTTGACTAAATGTGCTTTGTCCACTTAACTATCGTACTAGCATTAATAACTTATAACAAATTAAGCGCAAAAAGTTGATTATTAAATGGTATTCAATGTTAAATAATAAAAATCAAGAAACTTATCGG